GTTTCATCAGCTGTCAGGGTGGCTGGTCTCAGACGATCCCGCAGGTGAAGAAGCCGGATGTGGAGGTCCTGGCCTGGCGTGGTTACACGTGGTCAGCGGTTGTTCCAAATTCTCTTAAACAACGTTTGGAAGCAGCTTATGGTAGAGAAATGAACATTCAATTCTATGGCAACAGCTCTGGTGGACATTCCTGCAGTCAGCATGCCAATTGCACACTCCCTCAAAACTTGAGACATCTGTAGTATTGTGTTGTGTGACAAAAGTGAACATTTTAGAGTGGTGGTTTATTGTCCCCAGTACAAGGTGCACCTGTGTAATGATCATTCTGTTAATCAACTTCTTGACATGCCACACCTGTCAGGTGGATGGATTATCTTGGCAAAGGAGAAATACTAATTAACAGCGACAAACAAATTTCTGCACAAAATTTGAGAGAAATACGTTTTTTATGCGTATGGGAAATTTCTGGGATCTTTTATTTCAGCTCATGAAACATGGGACTAACACTTTACATGATGCATTTATATTTTTGTTCAGTATGTGTGTGTATATACACTACCAGTCAAAGGTTTTAGAACACCTACTCATTCAAGGGTTTTTCTTTATTTTTACTATTTTCTACATTGTAGAATAATAGTGAAGACATCAAAACTATGAAATAACACATATGGAATCATGTAGTAACCAAAAAAGTGTTAAACAAATCAAAAATATATTTTATATTTGAGATTCTTCAAAGTAGCCACCCTTTGCCTTGATGACAGCTTTGCACAGTCTTGGCATTTTCTCAACCAGCTTCATGAGGTAGTCACCTTGGATGCATTTCAATTAACAGGTGTGCCTTGTTAATTTGTGGAATTTCTTTCCTTCTTAATGCGTTTAAGCCAATCAGTTGTGTTGTGACAAGGTAGGGGTGGTATACAGAAGATGGTATTTTACCAAATAAGCAAAGAGAAACGACAGTCCATCATTACTTTAAGACATGAAGGTCAGTCAATACGGAACATTTCAAGAACATTTACATTTTAGTCATTTAGCAGACACTCTTATCCAGAGCGACTTACAGTTACATACATTTTCTTTTTCATACTGGCCCCCCATGGGAATCGAACCCACAACCCTGGCGTTGCAAACGCCATGCTCTACCAACTGAGCTACATCCCTGCCGGCCATTCCCTCCCCTACCCTGGACCAATTGTGCGCCGCCCCATGGGTCTCCCGGTCGCGGCCGGCTACGACAGAGCCTGGATTCGAACCAGGATCTCTAGTGGCACAGCTAGCACTGCGATGCAGTGCCTTAGACCACTGCGCCACTCTGGAGACTTTTAACATTTCTTCAAGTGCAGTTGCAAAAACCATCAAGCGCTATGATGAAACTGGCTCTCATGAGGACCGCCACAGGAAAGGAAGACCCAGAGTTACCTCTGCTGCAGAGGATAAGTTCCATTAGAGTTACCAGCCTCAGAAATTGCAGCCCAAATAAATGCTTCAGAGTTCAAGTAACAGACACATATCAACATCAACTGTTCAGAGGAGACTGCGTGAATCAGGCCTTCATGGTCGATTTGCTGCAAAGAAACCACTACTAAAGGACATCAATAATAATAAGAGAATTGCTTGGGCCAAGAAACACAAGCAATGGACATTAGACCGGTGGAAATCTGTCCATAGGTCTGATGAGTCCAAATTTGATTTTGGTTCCAACCGCCGTGTCTTTGTGAGACGCAGAGTAGGTGAACGGATGATCTCTGCATGTGTTGTTCCCACCGTGAAGTATGGAGGAGGTGGCGTGGGGGTGCTTTGCTGGTGACACTGTCTGTGATTTATTTAGAATTCAAGGCACACTTAACCAGCATGGCTACCACAGCATTCTGCAGCGATACGCCATCCCACACACCTGTGAGGAGAACCATCCTACTGCAGTTTGAACTAGCCCTGCCGTCACTATTAGACATTGAGACCCCATATGCATTTGCCTGTTCTCTTTTCTTTGTGGGTTTTGTCTTACAGTCTAGTGCATTTTAGAGGTGAAGAGCACCAACTACAGATACACATGCTTGTTAGAGCATCTCGAAGACTAATTTCAATGTAGGATCAGTTTGACGAGGTGAAAAACATATAATATATATTGGCTAAGTGGTCAACGGAGTTACCTCTACAGTCAAGACAATTTGCATTTCATGCTGCATATTTCAAGTGCACTTGAAAACAAATATTTATCTTATTTCAGTCTTCACCACAGACAGCAGCTCAAGTTTTCAGGTGAGGCTGTGTTTACATCTTAGATGGATGCAGGCCATTCAGTAAGCATTTCACCTGCGTTCAGTAAAAACTGAATAGAATGTTAAATTGAACAGAAACAGTGCTGTACTGAACGGCCAGTTGAAAAACGGGTAGGTTATGGCTTCAAAATGCACCTCTGCCCTTTTTAAATAGGTCAGTCATTGCTCAAGCCAAACCCCAGCACATCCACCGAATGGAGCAAACGTACCTCAAAATCACTCCAAGAACCTTTGGGGAAACGTCTCGTTCAGTACAAGCGAACTGAAAGCGATTTCACGGTTAGTCCACACTTGTTGTTTACAAAACATGTGAGGAATAAAATTTGATGGATGGGTGGGTGTATAACGTGAACGTCTAGCAACATTTGAATTCGAATATCATCACGGACAAAGTGAACGTCTAGCAACCACAGAACTCCCAACCTTTGGGTTGCTAGACGTTCACGTTATACGCCCACACATCCACCCCGACCAACCACCCTACTTTAATTTTTGCCTTATGTAATCATACCAAACATAACATATCATACTAATTTGAGTGTTCCGGATTTACGTTTACTATGCTACGTCTAGTCTATGAGACTGGGCTGTGTAATTTTGTCCTTGAAACATTTAAAGCAGTAATATATCAATTTTTGGGCAACTGGAACAAATTCACATATACATGTGAGTTATGGATTTGTCATTGAAAGCAAGTCTAAGAAGCGGTAGATCTGTTCTATGTGCACGTTCTATGCTTCCCGTCAAGTTTCTGAAAATACAATATTTTTGGTATATTTCACAGCGGTTTAGATGGTACAATGATTCTCTACACTATACATTGCTTGTTTTGTCCAGTGGCTTCAAAACCTCTCAATGGCCAATACACAGCATCAGCAATCCAGGGCTTTGCCAAAACATTTTTACAAATATTACTTTAGTGCCTTGTTGCAATCAGGATGCATGTTTTGGAATATTTGTATTCTGTACAGACGCCTTCTTTTCACTCTGTCAATTAGGTTAGTATTGTGGAGTAACTACAATGTTGTTGATCCATCCTCAGTGTTCTCCTATCCCAGCCATTAAACTCTGTTTTAAAGTCATCATTGGCCTCATGGTGAAATCCCTGAGTGGTTTCCTTCCTCACTGGCAAATCAGTTAGGAAGGACGCGTGTATCTTTGTAGTGACTGGATGTATTGATACACCATCCAAAGTGTAATTAATAACTTCACCATGCTCAAAGGGATATTCAATGTCTTAGTTTTTTTCATTTTTAGCCATCTACCCTTCTTTGCTGGGCATTGGAAAACCTCCCTGGTCTTTGTGGTTGAATCTGTGTTTGAAATGCACTGCTCGACTGATGGACTGTACAGATAATTGTATGTGTGGGCTACAGAGATGAAGTAGCCATTCAAAAATCATGTTAAACACTATTATTGCACACAAAGTGAGTCCATGCAACTTATGTGACTTGTTAAGCAAATGTTCACTCCTGAACTTATTTAGGCTTGCCATAACAAAGGGGTTGAATACTTATTGACACAAGACAAAATTCGAAAAATATAATTCCACTTTGTCATTCAGGGGTATTGTGCATAGGCCAGACACACAATCGCAAATTAATCAATTTTAAATTCAGGCTGTAACACCATTTTTTTTGGAAAAAGTCAAGGGGTGTGTATACTTTCTGAAGGCACTGTATATACTGTACATCATTGGTATGTACCAGAGTACTGATTGGTTTCAAGTTTAGCAGTTTGGCAAATTTGTGTTGAAATTTACTTTTTATGAGAATGTGCAAGAATTGAAGGTGCCAACAAATTTGATATAATGTTTTCCTGTCATATACAAAAAAATCAACTCCTCCCTCGACGGGAATCGATCAACTTCAATATTTCCGACCCACCACCTAGGAGTGTTCGTTGGTGTCTTCCTGGTTGTGAATGTAGCTAGCGCTAGCCAGTGCCATTGTGCTAGCTAGCTAGCCAGTAGCCTTCTTTATTCGAAATGGAGTATCAGTTATTTTGCAAAGATCACAACCAAATATAATCTTAGCCACTGTTCAAGCAAGAATCAAAACAGCTTTGTAAGTGTATGAGCACCCCAAAAAGTTATTTTATTGAGAAGTAATAAAAAGGTACATCTAGGCTATGTTGAATGGGCGCAGGTGGCGATGGCTTTCTTACTGCCGCCAAGAGTCGCGCGCATCTCTCAACTGCGCGAGATACCTCATGGATTTGCCATCCAGCGTGTCCATATAGCGGCCTCTCCCGTGTAAACGCAGCGGTATACGCAGGTTGCAACCTGGTAGGCACGCAGGTGCAACCTGGTAGGCACAGAGTTGGTATAGGCACAGATGGTGGATAGATGTCCCACTCAGGCCGTTTACGATTGAAAAAAAAAGGTATACTAAACGGGGTGGCTCTACCATAGGCACCAATGCATTAGCAACTGGGTCTGACCTGCTTTCATTGATTGTATATGAACCAGAAAAATTAAGGAGTTGGATGTCTCGCTTCCTCTTCCGTCTCTGGCCTCAGTGCAGCCTGGCATCGTCAGCGACCTTTCTCTTATCGATTGGTTAGTTCTTGTGGAATGGGCAGGCGTATAAATTAAACAGTTTCAAGTAGTTGGCAGAGACTTTGGGAGGAAGCACACAAGTGTCTGAGGGATTCAGTTGAGATCGGCCGCTTGAAGGATTTCTTTATTTTTTACGTTATCGTTTTAGTGAGTTAAAAATGCAAAGCTGTGCAAAGTCGTGGGTGATCCTATTCGCCAAGTCTGTGAATCCCCATGCACCTTGCAGACACATTTGTGGTATAAACCGTATCTTTGGGAAACTACAGAATAGAATCCAAACCCGTAATGCGTTTGTAACCGTCCGGGGTCTACGGACGTCTGCAGTCTATGCTGCTTCCAGACAGATAGACAGAATACTGCCGAGACACGATGATTTTGCAGAGAGGCACATTGGTCCAGGTGAAAGGGAGAAAAGGGAGATGCTGGATGTTCTTGGACTTGAGGTAAGATTTAAAGACATTTGGATAAAGAGAGAAATTATAGGACAGAAAGTAAGCTAATGTGTCGATCTAATGCATGGAAGGCACTCTTGCATGTTTCTTATCATAAACGGTAAACGTGCAACTATGTATACAAGTTCAGTGCGTTTTGACTTGTATAGCATGCATTGCTTTTCAGTCGATCGCCCAGTTGATAGAAGATACAGTTCCAGAATCCATCCGTATTCAAAGAAGTATGAAAATGGATGATCCTCTTTGTAAGTTTATCTTGTTTCCCAAATCTTTGACAGCACGTGTTATTGTTGATGTTTGTGTTCTCAATCGATATATTGCCCCATCAATGTTATAAAATGCTGAATTTGCTAGCCTATGGTTTTTCTTTCCAAGTGCGTTATAATGTATTGATGTTGATTTTCCGGACAATTGAGTCTTGATTTATTATTTATTAATTAATCTTGCATATGTCCCTCTTTTTATGTTTTGTCAATATATTTTACTGGTCTCTGAATTGTATTCTACAATGGGTGTAAATCAAGCCAAACGAGTGGCTGAAATCTAGGTTGCCCTCCTATTGTGTGCCATTGTGAAGCGCTCTTCACCGTTAAGTCTTCCTTTGAACATATTTGGAGTTGTTTTTGCGAAACTCAACGAGCAGCACCAATCTCCAGTTGGGAAGCCGATGCTAATAGGATGGCAATTGGAGTGTGAAGTTCAGCCTTGAGCTCCTGTCCCAACTCCAGTTCAATCTGGTTATAACATTACATCACAGTTGAATTAAATGTACAAAGGACCGTCATGAGATTCCTTAATATGATCATTTGATGAGTTAGGAATGTATTTAATTTTTCTTACTTGACATTTAATAAGAGACAGACGGATTTCAGTTGATTGCGCAAATAGTGAGACCTTTGAAACGTTTTACTATCAATAATGGTTTGTCTACAGCAGGCCAACACTTATGAGGCTTATTTCATTGGCAAACCTCACTGCATAATTCCATTAGAGACAGACGTATCAGATCACTTGCTAGAGATTTGCAAGACTATCAAACACATACTATTCTGGACAAGTACAGTACATTGTATTACTACTTTACCTTGTTTTGTGTAATGAATTACATTTATTTAAACGATAGTTCTAAAGCAACCGACAATATGGATATAATTAATTAAACAAAAGCCATTTGAAAACACAAGCATTACACGCAAAGTAAATAAAAGCAATAGTATTGCTTATGACAATTATTTGTAATAACATGGAAGATGATTAATATTTTGCCAATATTTTCACTAAATTGATGATGCACTGTTTCCATTTGATAGTGATCCATATCTCAACCATAACCAATGTCATACAAACTACTACATTGTTTTCGGAGGTCAATGTCATGTAGTGAAACTGGCTCAACTGTCAAAATTCCTAGGATTGTTGTTACATCATTTTCTGTTTTAAATTAGTCATTGTTTTCACTATCCTGATACTTTTGTGTGTGTGTATGTATGTGGACACCCCTTCAAATGAGTGGATTCGGCTATTTCAGCCACACCCGTTGCTGACAGGTGTATAAAATCGATCACACAGCCATGCAATCTCCATAGACAAACATTAGCAGTAGAATGGCCTTACTGAAGAGCTCAGTGACTTTCAACGTTGCACAGTCATAGGATGCCACCTTTCCAACAAGTCAGTTTGTCAAATTTCTGCCCTGCTAGAGCTGCCCCGGTCAACTGTAGGTGCTGTTATTGGGAAGTGGAAATATCTAGGAGCAACAACGGCTCAGCCACGAAGTGGTAGGCCACACAAGCTCACAGAACGGGGCCGCGAGTGCTGAAGCGCGTAGAGCGTAAAAATCGTCTGTCCTCTGTCTGTCCTCACTACCGAGTTCCAAACTGCCTCTGGAAGCAACGTCAGCACAATTACTGTTCGTGGGGAGCATCATGAAATGGGTTTCCATGGCCGAGCAGCCCCACACAAGCCTAAGATCACCATGCGTAATGCCAAGCGTCGGCTGGAGTGGGGTAAAGCTTGCCACCATTGGACTCTGGAGCAGTGGAAACGCGTTCTCTGGAGTGATGAATCACGCTTCACCATCTGGAAGTCGACGGACGAATATGGGTTTGGTGGATGCCAGGAGAACGCTACCTGCCCCAATGCATAGTGCCAACTGTAAAGTTTGGTGGAGGAGGAATAATGGTCTTGGGCTGTTTTTCATGGTTCGGGCTAGGCCCCTTAGTTCCAGTGAAGGGAAATCTTAACGCTACAGCATACAATGACATTCTAGACGATTCTGTGCTTCCAACTTTGTGGCAACAGTTTGGGGAAGACCCTTTCCTGTTTCAGCATGACAATGCCCCCATGCACAAAGCGAGGTCCATAAAGAAATGGTTTGTCGAGATCGGTGTGGAAGAACTTGACTGTCGAACACCTTTTGGGATGAATTGGAACGTCGACTGTGAGCCAGGCCTAATCGCCCAACATCAGTACCCGACCTCACTAATGCTCTTGTGGCTGAATGGAAGCAAGTCCCCGCAGCATTGTTCCAACATCTATTGGAAAGCCTTCCCAGGAGAGTGGAGGCTGTTATAGCAGCAAAGAGGGGACCAACTCCATTTTAATGCCCATGATTCTGGAATGAGCTGTTCGACGAGCAGGTGTCCACATACTTTTGGTCATGTAGTATATTACAAAAGTGCTCAACTTGGGGAGAGGAATTTGTCCCTCAGTTGGTAATGAAGAGTTGCCTAGTGTACTCTGAAATAGCACTGTACTACTAGTCACATGCTAGAACATAACACTATCAGCCATTTGCTTCTTGCAAAATGATTGACTGAATATTGCTTGGAGCTTATTCTAGATTGGGTAATAAGGTCAGTGGGGCGGGCGGGGGGGTTAAAACCACCTTCGGTCACTCTTATCTGCCCCTGTCGAGTTCCGTTATGTAGCAAGCCATGCATGAAGGAACAAACTGATGGCCTACTGGTTTTTGCTTGTTCAGCTTGGAGAAGCTTGGTTTGCAAAGCCAGCAAGTGATTCTCTCCTCAACAAATACATAGTTCTGAATCAGGCTTTTCTGTTGCTTTGAGGATCTTTGCAGCCATGGTAAAACTATCCTCTCTGATGAAATGTACAAATCCACAGTACGGCCCCCCACACTAAACCACTGGCCTCTACTACTGATGATGCTTCCATTTGTTTTGTTATTAATGTTAGATATTTCGAAACACCATCTTGTGCTGCTGAGTTATAAAGCATCACATTTTTAAATGCAGGATTGATTTACAGTAAAACGTCTTGTGGCACCTAAATTCAAACAGCAAATGTTCACCTCTTTGTGTGGTGGTGTATCACAGAAGAAATGCTCATCCTGAATATGAGAGTAGTTTGGGCACTCGGTTCAGAGGGTTGTATTGTCCATTCCTTGCTGAGGGAGTTGCTAAGCAGCAATGGAATGGCCGAGGAATTCCAGTGTCTCTGTGTGTATTAACTGATCTCCCCTACAGCACTGGGGAATTAGGCTAGATAACTAGCCATTGGGAAAGGGACCATATGTTGCACATCTCCTGAGTGGCGCAGTGGTCTAAGGCACTGCATGCCACTAGAGATCCTGGTTCGAATCCAGGCTCTGTCGTAGCCGGCCGCGACCGGAGACCTATGGGGCGGCGCACAATTGGCCCAGCGTCGTCCAGGGTAGGGGAGGGAATGGCTGGCAGGGATGTAGCTCAGTTGGTAGAGCATGGTGTTTGCAACGCCAGGGTTGTGGGTTCGATTCCCACGGGGGGCCAGTATGAAAAATAAAATAAAAATAATGTATGCACTCACTAACTGTAAGTCGCTCTGGAGAAGAGCGTCTGCTAAATGATGACAACATTTTTAAAAATAATAATTGTCTCCTCCAATGCATAGAAACATGACCAAATGGAAATGCATTGTACATGTACAGAAATGTTGTATACAGTTCACACTAACATGACATGCAGAGATGTGGAGTACACATCCAATCACATAAAGCTGTTAAGTTTAAATTCCTATCCACTCCATTTTGACAGCGAATCTGAATCTATATGATATCACTGCCCATTTGTTTGGGTGGGTTGTTCAGAAAATGGTTGGGTATAATCATTTTCAGGTTGGTTTCATGCAAGCCCCATCCTAATTGAGTCAGGATGATCCGGAATCGTAATGCAGTCACCTGCCTAGATGGGAGAGAAGATGCCATCAATCTTGTGCTGTTTTGCAGTTGAAATTAAGAGATGTTTTATTAAAATCAAACCAATACGGAAACATACATCAGAAATTCCATTTATTGAAATGCATTTTTTCTCTCAAATGCATGTGATACCAATTGTGATGTCTATTTCTGCAGGCGAGAATGAAGTCTTAGAGCATCTCCAAAAGATTGCATCAAAGAACAAGGTGTGGAGGTCTTATATCGGAATGGGCTACTACAACTGCTCAGTGCCTCCAGTTATACAGAGAAACCTTCTAGAGAATTCAGGATGGTAAGGGCCACTGACACACCCTGGCGCCGCCGACGAAGATGGCGGCTAGCTCTTAGGAAACTTTGCAGTATTTTGTTTAATATTGCTTGTCCATATATGTATATATTCTTAAATTCCATTCCTTACTAGTTTTGTGTGTATTGGGTATATGTTGTGAAATTGTTAGATATTACTGCACTGTCGAAGCTAGAAGCACAAGCATTTCGCTACACCCGGTATAACATCTGCTAAACACGTGTATGTGACAAATAAAATGTGATTTGATGATCATCTTCTAGCCAAGTTGTCCCTATTAGTAGGGCAAGCTATATTTGATTGTGTACTCAAGGTGTGTATATGTATGGGCTTCTGTTAGTCATTTAAAGCTCTAATTGCTACATTGCAGAAGAACTTGCCGCTAATCAGAAATCTTGTGACTTGAAGCTCAAGTTTGCACTGGATTAAATTACATGCTCATGTGGGATCTTGTGATCCGTCTTTGTCCAACTTAAAACGAGACAACGCTCTTAATCACAACACTTTGATTTCACATTTTACTCATGCAGTTTTCTCTATCTTCGTAAACTTCCACTCACGTCACCCTAGTATCTTGATTCCTTGAAAACCAGCTTGTTTTTCTGTGTATCTGTAATGATTTCTCTGTGTCCTGTTCTCATCAGGGTGACGCAGTACACCCCCTATCAGCCCGAGGTGGCTCAGGGTCGCCTGGAGAGTCTGCTCAACTACCAGACCATGATCTGTGACATCACAGGCATGGCTGTAGCCAACGCCTCTCTGCTGGACGAGGCAACAGCTGCCGCCGAGGCCATGCAGCTCTGCCATAGGTGAGGCGAGAATAAACTCAAGTGGGAAATAGTGGTTGACCATTAAAGGATAGTTAATTTAGTATAGCTCATGTATAGGGTCTAGTTATAGTCTATAAAAAGGGCCCAGGGCTTTTCCTGGTCAGGCCACTTAGTCAGAAAAAACTCCTGGCCCTACAGGTGTGTTCATAATTTTTTGTTATATTCTCCTCACAGACAGAACAAGAGAAGGACATTCTACATCGACCCACGTTGCCACCCTCAGACGATCGCTGTAGTGCAGACCAGAGCCAAGTATGGGCATCCTTTCAATGCTTCAGAAACAAGGTTAGAACTGTGTACCAAAAGCAGCATCCTCACAATCGGTGCTCTGCTCTGTGATTGTTGACTAACAGCTACATCGGGGTGAAGACGGTGCTAAAGCTGCCTCATGAGATGGACTTCAGTGGGAAGGATGTGAGCGGGGTGCTGTTCCAGTACCCAGACACCGACGGCAGAGTGGAGGACTTCACCGCGCTGGTGGACCGTGCTCACAAGGGAGGGGTAAGAGAGCCGCCACGTCGGACGTTATTGGTAGTAATGGTTTATTAACCTAGGCTGATATTTTAAAGTAAATTCGGGTGGGGGTTTGGTAGTCTTATTTGGATTTGTCGCTCTTGGTTTGGTAGGAAAGGATCCCTTCTTGCTACACCACATATATTCACAGTAGACTTTGATGCACGTCTTTGGTTGATCAGTTGCAGTTGAACAGTGGGCACGTGAGAAAGTGTAGGATGTGGTGATCCCAGTTTGGTACCTCAGTGAAGTGTATGGAAGACTCACCGTCTCTCATCCCTGTAGGCTCTGGCTTGCTGTGCCACTGACCTGCTGGCCCTGTGTGTGCTGCGCCCCCCTGGAGAGTTTGGGGTGGACATCGCCCTGGGCAGCTCCCAGAGGTTCGGGGTACCGCTCTGCTACGGTGGTCCTCACGCTGCCTTCTTCTCTGTCAAAGAAAACCTGGTCAGGATGATGCCTGGCAGGATGGTGGGAGTGACCAGGTGAGAGCCCTTGATATTCACATTGGTCCTGTTCAGAATGGAAGTCAGATCTCTTGAAGTTGTTCAGTGTTGGGCAATATAAACAGCATATTGAGATTGACCTTATATCATACTTGCTCACAGTCTAAAAGACTGAAGTATGCAGAACACATACAGTACCAGTCAAAAGTTTGGACACACCTACACATTCAAGGGTTTTTCTTTATTTTTACTATTTTCTACCTTGTAGAATAACAGTGAAGACATCAAAACTATGAAATAACACAAATGGAATCATGTAGTAACCAAAAAACTGTTAAACAAATCAAAATATATTTTACATTTTGAGATTCTTCAAAGTACCCACCCTTTGCCTTGATGACAGCTTTGCACGCGCTTGGTATTCTCTCAACCAGCTTCATGCGGTAGTCACCTGGAATGCTTTTCCAACAGTCTTGAAGGAGTTCCCACCAATGCTGAGCACTTGTTGGCTGCTTTTCCTTCACTCTGCGGTCCAACTCATCCCAAACCATCTCAATTGGGTTGAGGTCGGTGATTGTGGAGGCCAGGTCATCTGATGCAGCACTCTCCTTCTTGATCATATAGCCTTTACACAGCCTGGAGGTGTGTTTTGGGTCATTGTCCTGTTGAAAAACAAATTACAGTCCCACTAAGCGCAAACCAGATGGGATGGCGTATCGCCCAAGCAAGTCTCTTCTTCTTATTGGTGTCCTTTAGTAGTGGTTTCTTTGCAGCAATTCGACCATTAATGCCTAATTCTTGCAGTCTCCTCTGAACAGTTGATGTTGAGATGTGTCTGTTACTTGAACTCTATGAAGCATTTATTTGAGCTGCAATCTGAGGTGCAGTTAATTGCCAATTTCTGAGGCTGGTATCTCTAATGAACTTATCCTCTGCAGCAGAGGTAACTCTGGGTCTTCCTTTCCTGTGGCGTTCCTCATGAGAGCCAGTTTCATTATAGCGTTTTTTTGCGACTGCACTTGATGACACTTTCTTGAAATGTTCCGGATTGACCTTCATGTCTTAAAGTAATAATGGACTGTCGTTTCTCTTTGCTTATTTGAGCTGTTCTTGCCTTAATATGGACTTGGTCTTTTACCAAATAAGGCTATCTTCTGTATACCAACCCTACCTTGTCACAGCACAATTTATTGACTCAAACACATTAAGAAGGAAATAAATTCCACAAATTAACTTAACAATGCACACCTGTTAATTGAAATGCATTCCAGGTGACTACCTCATGAAGCTGGTTGAGAGAATGCCAAGCGTGTGCAAAGCTGTCATCAAGGCAAAGGGTGGCCACTTTGAAGAATCTCAAATATAAAATATATTTTGATTTGTTTAACACCTTTTTGGTTACTACATGATTCCATATGTGTTATTTCATAGTTTTGATGTCTTCACTATTATTCTACAATGTAGAAAATGGTACAAATAAAGAAAAACCCTTGAATGAGTAAGTGTGTCCAAACTTTTGACTGGTACTGTACATTAAGACAATATCTTGATGTACATTTGTTTAATGTCCCTTTTTCACCTGCAGGGATGCAGCTGGTAAAGAGGTGTACCGCCTGGCCCTGCAGACCAGAGAGCAGCACATCCGCAGAGACAAGGCCACAAGCAACATCTGCACTGCACAGGTACTGTACACCCAACACCGACACACTGAGCCTCCACCCAACACCGGCACGCTGAGCCTCCACCCAACACCGACACACTGAGCCTCCACCCAACACCGGCACGCTGAGCCTCCACCCAACACCGGCACACTGAGCCTCCACCCAACACCGACACACTGAGCCTCCACCCAACACCGGCACGCTGAGCCTCCACCCAACACCGGCACACTGAGCCTCCACCCAACACCGACACGCTGAGCCTCCACCCAACACCGACACGCTGAGCCTCCACCCAACACCGACACGCTGAGCCTCCACCCAACACCGACACGCTGAGCCTCCACCCAACACCGACACGCTGAGCCTCCACCCAACACCGACACGCTGAGCCTCCACCCAACACCGACACGCTGAGCCTCCACCCAACACCGACACGCTGAGCCTCCACCCAACACCGACACGCTGAGCCTCCACCCAACACCGACACGCTGAGCCTCCACCCAACACCGACACGCTGAGCCTCCACCCAACACCGACACGCTGAGCCTCCACCCAACACCGACACGCTGAGCCTCCACCCAACACCGACACACTGAGCCTCCATCCAATACCGACACTCTTAGCCCCAGAACAGCCTAACTGTATTCAACTCTTATGAAGGTCTTATGAAGTTATCTTGTGTAAAATAAAAAATAAACTAGATGTAGTGGTTGTCTGCATATTTTTTAAGAACTTTATCTCACCTTCAAACTGTATCTGTGTCTTTCAGGCTCTGCTGGCCAACATGGCAGCCATGTTTGGAGTGTATCATGGACCCCAGGGCTTAAAGCACATTGCTGAGAGGACACACAATGCTGCACTGATCCTCGCTGAGGGTATGTCCTCCACATATTCATTTTAAGTCTTATATCAATCAACCGTGACCAAATTCAATCACAAGCATGTATTGAGAAAGAAATAGTAACATTGCTTCTCTTTTAAATGAATTATGAATGATACTGAGTTCTTAGAAATCCTTTTCTCTCACTCCCTTTGTATCAGGTCTGAAGCGGGCTGGACACAGGCTCCACAGCGAGATGTTCTTTGACACGCTGAAGGTTAGCTGCAGTGTGGCAGCCAAGGACATCCTGGAGAGGGCTGTCCAGAGAGAGATCAACCTGCGTGTTTACGGCGAGGGAGTGGTGAGTAGTACCAAATACGGTTTAGGAACAGATTACATACACGTCCATTCAGTGTTCCTACTGTAAGCAGGTCAACAAAGGTACAACAAAACACTCATCACACTTCAGTCCATGCTCCCATGTGCTTTATTGACAATGTTTGACCCTTAGAATACCTTGTCGAAAAATGTTGTAAATAAAGCATGCGGAAGCATAGATTGTGGAGTACAAGATACTCTTACTTTGAGTCCCCCCTATAGATAAAACCAGGGGCTAGTTCCGGATGGTGCAGTGTTACAGAACGTTCAGATATAAAGGTATTGTAGAGTCATTTGAGCTCTACTCATTAAATATCTATCTGCAGCATTGTAGAATTAGCACCCCTCTGAATAAGCCACATGTGGCCATGTTCATTTATGCTTTAGATACACACACATTACTTTCACTCTGAAATGATTTCTGTGTTTACCTAGTTAGGTGTGTCTCTGGATGAGACGGTGACAGAGAGGGACTTGGACGATCTGCTCTGGGTCTTTGGATGTGAATCCTCAGCGGTACGTTTGATTTCAATATTCCATATAGGAGTATGCATAAACTCAGCATTGACCCTATTGCTATCTTGAGAGTGAGTGCAAAGATGCATCTTGAAGCCATGGGACAAATACTTTGATTTCAGCTATCGCATATATAATTCCATTAAATCTCAATTTACAGGAGCTCATTGCTGAAAAGATGGGTGAAAGGGTGAAAGGCATTATGGGTAGTCCTTTCAAGAGGACCAGCAAGTACCTCACCCACACAATCTTCAACAGGTTGGTCTGTTTGTAGCGACCTCAAATTACAATACTGGCCTGGGCGTGATAAGGATGAAGCTTGATATGCCATAATTGTTATGATGACTTGTGTTCTCAGTGATGATAGCATTATCAGTATGACACCAGAATGGTGAGACATTAGCTGACCTTCCATGTTGATTAGTTCTCTCTGTTGTCCCAAACTGCACCTGATAGAATAATTCCTTGCACTGGTAACGTAAGGTTGTTACACATATACTGTAAGTGATAATATAGGGTTTTAGAAGTGAAATGACACATTAGGCCTAAAACGTATCTTTATAATCTTGATTCACTCTGATTCTTCATGCCGTGCAGTTACCACTCCGAGACCAACATTGTGCGCTATATGAAACGCCTGGAGAACAAGGACATCTCTCTGGTTCACAGCATGATCCCACTGGTGAGTCTTATGGGAAAGCAAAGAAGAAATGTTTTACTTTAGACATGGTGCTTTTCACATGATCCGAATACTACACAAAAAAACAGCAAACCACTGTAAAGATTAGTGGGCCCGTCACCATTTTTAATGTCCATTTTGTTTTCCATGTCAGGGTTCCTGCACAATGAAGCTGAACAGTTCTTCAGAGCTCATGGTGAGTTAATATCAGGGTTGGGGTAAATTCGAATTGACGGCAGTCAATTCAGGACATAAACTGAAATTCCAGTTCAATTATTTAAAAAAGGGCATGTATTTTCAATGATTTCTCAATAAACCTAAAAGTAAAAGCTATTTATTTCAAACGTTTTTGAATTTTAAAATCAAATCACTGCCTGAATTGACTGCCTTCAATTCGAATTGACAACAACCCTGGTTAATATCTCTCATTGTACAAAACATTAAGAACACCTTCCTAATATTGAGTTGCAGTCTGGGTTTTTTATGGTGGTGTTGTGAAGAACACTTTAGGTTACCTTGATATGACTATTTCTCCCATTGTTCCCTCTTTCCAACTCTTTTAGCCCATCACCTGGAATGAGTTTGCCAACCTCCACCCCTTCTGTCCCCTGGACCAGGCTGAGGGTTACCAGCAGCTCTTCAGGCAGCTGGAGAAGGACCTCTGTGAGGTGACTGGCTATGACAAGATCTCCTTCCAACCCAACAGGTAAGCCCCTCACTGACACAAACATTCAGTGTAGGGGGGGGATTCATGACCAACTGGGATTTCAGTTTCCCACACTCATCTGAGTGTGATTTACCAAACCACCTCCGTTACACATACCCAACTGTCAATGGATTCAATTCAGGTCATTGTACTTGATCATTTAACTATCAAAGGTAGCTTTGTGGCTGATATCTCTATGGTTCCAAGTCCCCCCCCCACTTATCAGTATTATTTGGGCTGATGTATAGCACACCGTGCTACATTGGCCTAAATGGAAAGATAGTGGTCTGGTTGTTCAACTCTTAGTCCATGCTTTCCTTTTACAGTTACTGTAAAGCCCATTGACTAACCTTTGAACTTGGCACGTTTGATGATTATAATGAGACAGGACTTCACTGGGAGCATGTGTCTGAGCATGTGGCTGGTACATTAACAGACTGTATGACCTTGTCTTTTAGTGGTGCTCAGGGAGAATATGCTGGCCTCGCTGCCATCAAAGCCTACCTGAACTCTAAAGGAGATGCCCATAGAACAGTAAGTATGGTTCTAATGAAACAAAACACTTTTTGCTAGCACACATACTAGGCCCTGCAGTGTCATGCAGTATGTCCACCCTTGGTTAATTGTTATCACAAAAAAATGTATATTATAAAATTACAGTATTATTTGGGGGAGTAGATTGTCAGAAATGTGGGGGTGTATGTACTATAACATATTACCCTAATGAATTTTCAGCCTGAATGTTTGCTGCAGTCAGCCATTTCACTGTGAACAACCTGTAATAAAGGTGTTACATGGTACTGCACACTGGATACTTAGACCTACCTACAATAATTTATCAGTGCATGGAGAGCCATAAAGAGACTTGTTTTAGGTACAGACAGCTTATAGGTATGATGACAAAGATAATCATCCACTCATTTGCCGACAGACATTGTATTGGAAAAGCCTTCTGAAGAATAGCGCGTTTTGGATACTTATACAGGAACTGTTTGAAAATCCCCAAGTAGCCTAGCGGCAGGTAGCCTAGCGGTTAAGAGCTTTGAGCCTTTGAAAGGTTGCTGGTTCGAATTTCTAAACTGCCTAGGTGAAACATCTGTCGATGTGCCCTTGAGCAAGGCACTTAACCCTAATTGCTCCTGTAAGCCGCTCTGGATAAGAGCGTCTGCTAAATGACTAAAATGTAAGTATCACAACCGTGGCTGGAGGTAAGTCTGCTTGTTCAAGTAGCTTTCCGGTTTTGTAATTTGGCTTTTGTTTCAAGAGCTCACACCACTATCTAAGATGTGCTTGTAAGTGAGTTGTTAAAACTAACAACTCCCTTATCTTAGGTAGTGATGTGAGCTTTTCAAACAGTCAATGTCCACAGTTGTGCAAATAAAGGACAGAAAACGCCACACTACCTGGAGGTTACTTGATTTCAAGATCCCATACAGTGGGGTTAAAAAGATGAGAGAGGCCTGTAATTTTCATCATAGGTACACATCAACTATGACAGACAAATTGAGGAGAAAAAATCCAGAAAATCACATTGTAGGATTTTTTATGAATTTATTTGCAAATTTTGGTGGAAAATAAGTATTTGGTCACTTACAAACAAGCAAGATTTCTGGCTCTCACAGACCTGTAACTTCTTCTTTAAGAGGCTCCTCTGTCCTCCACTCGTTACCTGTATTAATGGCACCTGTTTGAACTTGTTATCAGTATAAAAGACACCTGTCCACAACCTCAAACAGTCACACTCCAAACTCCACTATGGCCAAGACCAAAGAGCTGTCAAAGGACACCAGAAACAAAATTGTAGACCTGCACCAGGCTGGGAAGACTGAATCTGCAATAGGTAAGCAGCTTGGTTTGAAGATGAAACGTGGCTGGGTCTTTCAGCATGACAATGATCCCAAACACACCGCCCGGGCAACGAAGGAGTGGCTTCGTAAGAAGCATTTCAAGGTCCTGGAGTGGTCTAGCCAGTCTCCAGATCTCAACCCCATAGAAAATCTTTGGAGGGAGTTGAAAGTCCATGTTGCCCAGCGACAGCCCCAAAACATCACTGCTCTAGAGGAGATCTGCATGGAGGAATGGGACAAAATACCAGCAACAGTGTGTGAAAACCTTGTGAAGACTTACAGAAAACATTTGACCTGTGTCATTGCCAACAAAGGGTATATAACAAAGTATTGAGAAACTTTTGTTATTGACCAAATACTTTTTTCCCCCACTGTATTTGATGATTTTAAGTCTCTGGGAACAGCAAGTTATGGGTAAAACTGATTGAGCGTGGCTTTTTTCCCCATCAGGGGGGAAATGTAAACGTTACCCAACAAACACACAGGTATTAGTGACCTTGTGACAATGTTGCAAAATGTATAAATAAGTCACCTAATAAGGGATAAAATCAATTGATGACCTACAGTTGAAGTCGGAAGTTTACATACTTAGGTTGGAGTCAATAAAACTTGTTTTTCAACCACTCCACAAATTTCTTGTTAACAAACTATAGTTTTGGCAAGTCAGTTAGGACATCTACTTTGTGCATGACACAGGTAATTTATCCAACAATTGTTTACAGACAGATTATTTCACTTATAATTCACTGTATCACAATTCCAATGGGTCAGAAGTTTACATACACTAAGTTGACTGTGCCTTTAAACAGCTTGGAAAATTCCAGAAAATGATGTAATGGCTTTAGAAGTTTCTGATAGGCTAATTGACATCATTTGAGTCAATTGGAGGTGTACCTGTGGATGTATTTCAAGGCCTACCTTCAAACTCAGTGCCTCTTAGCTTGACATCATGGGAAAATCAAAAGAAATCAGCCAAGACCCCAGAAAAAAAATATGTAGACCTCCACAAGTCTGGTTCATCCTTGGGAGCAAATTCCAAACGCCTGAAGGTACCACGTTCATCTGTACAAACAATAGTAAGCAAGTACACTGCTCAAAAAAATAAAGGGAACACTTAAACAACACAATGTAAGTCAATCACACTTCTGTGAAATCAAACTGTCCACTTAAGAAGCAACACTGATTGACAATACATTTCACATGCTGTTGTGCAAATGGAATAGACAACAGGTGGAAATTATAGGCAATTAGCAAGACACCCCCAATAAAGGACTGGTTTTGCAGGTGGTGACCACAGACCACTTCTCAGTTCCTATGCTTCCTGGCTGATGTTTTGGTCACACTTGAATGCTGGCGGTGCTTTCGCTCTAGTGGTAGCATGAGACGGAGTCTACACCCCACACAAGTGGCTCAGGTAGTGCAGCTCATCCAGGATGGCACATCAATGCGAGCTGTGGCAAGAAGGTTTGCTGTGTCTGTCAGTGTAGTGTCCAGAGCATGGAGGCGCTACCAGGAGACAGGCCAGTACATCAGGAGACGTGGAGGCCGTAGGAGGGCAACAACCCAGCAGCAGGACTGCTACCTCTGCCTTTGTGCAAGTAGGAGCAGCAGGAGCACTGCCAGAGCCCTGCAAAATGACCTCCAGCAGGCCACAAATGTGCATGTGTCTGCTCAAACGGTCAGAAACAGACTCCATGAGGGTGGTATGAGGGCCCGACGTCCACAGGTGGGGGTTGTGCTTACAGCCCAACACCGTGCAGGACGTTTGGCATTTGCCAGAGAACACCAAGATTGGAAAATTCGCTACTGGCGCCCTGTGCTCTTCACAGATGAAAGCAGGTTCACACTGAGCACATGTGACAGACGTAACAGAGTCTGGAGACGCCGTGGAGAACGTTCTGCTGCCTGCAACATCCTCCAGCATGACCGGTTTGGCGGTGGGTCAGTCATGGTGTGGGGTGGCATTTCTTTGGGGGGCCGCACAGCCCTCCATGTGCTCGCCAGAGGTAGCCTGACTGCCATTAGGTACCGAGATGAGATCCTCAGACCCCTTGTGAGACCATATGCTGGTGCGGTTGGCCCTGGGTTCCTCCTAATGCAAGACAATGCTAGACCTCATGTGGCTGGAGTGTGTCAGCAGTTCCTGCAAGAGGAAGGCATTGATGCTATGGACTGGCCCGCCTGTTCCCCAGACCTGAATCCAAATGAGCACATCTGGGACATCATGTCTCGCTCCATCCACCAACGCCACGTTGCACCACAGACTTTCCAGGAGTTGGCGGATGCTTTAGTCCAGGTCTGGGAGGAGATCCCTCAGGAGACCATCCGCCACCTCATCAGGAGCATGCCCAGGCGTTGTAGGGAGGTCATACAGGCACGTGGAGGCCACACACACTACTGAGCCTCATTTTGACTTGTTTTAAGGGCATTACATCAAAGTTGGATCAGCCTGTAGTGTGGTTTTCCACATTAATTTTGAGGGTGACTCCAAATACAGACCTCCATGGGTTGATACATTTGACTTCCATTGATAATTTGTGTGTGATTTTGTTGTCAGCACATTCAACTATGTAAAGAAAAAAGTATTTCATAAGATTATTTCATTCATTCAGATCTAGGATGTGTTATTTTAGTGTTCCCTTTATTTTTTTGAGCAGTGTATAAACACCATGGGACGACGCAGCCGTCATACCACTCAGGAAGGAGACGGGTTCTGTCTTCTTGCAAGCCGTAGAACAATATCCCAACCGTGAAGCACGGGGGTGGCAGCATCATGCTGTGGGGGTGCTTTGCTGCAGGAGGGCCTGATGCACTTCACAAAATAGATGGCATCATGAGGATGGAAATTATGTGGATATATTGAAGCAACATCTCAAGACATCAGTCAGGAAGTTAAAGCTTGGTCGCAAATGGGTCTACCAAATGGACAATGACCCCAAGCATACTTCCAAAGTTGTTTCAAAATGATTTAAGGACAATATAGTCAAGGTATTGGAGTGGCCATCACAAAGCCCTGACCTCAAGTCTACAGAAAATGTGTGGGCAGAACTGAAAAAGTGTGTGCGAGCAAGGAGGCCTACAAACCTGACTCAGTTACACCAGCCCTGTCAGGAGGAATGGGCCAAAATTCACCTAACTTATTGAGGGAAGCTTGTAGAAGGCTACCCGGAACGTTTGACCCAAGTTGAACAATTTAAAGGCAATGCTACCAAATACTAATTGAGTGTATGTAAACTTATGACCCACTGGGAATGTGATGAAAGAAATAAAAGCTGAAAGAAATAATTCTCTCTACTATTATTCTGACATTTCACATTCTTAAAATAAAGTGGTGCTCCTAACTGACCTAAGACAGGGAATTATTACTAGAATAAAATGTCAGGAATTGTGAAAAACTGAGTTTAAATGTATTTGGCTAAGGTGTATGTAAACTTCTGACTTCAACTCTATTTTGCATTGATGTCACTTGGAGATTTGCACAAAGAAACGTTAGGACTCTAATGCTGTAATGGTTGACTTGCTTAGGCCAAATTAGCTCTTTTACTTTGTGATGGTCTGATTGTAACTCTCATTGATATTATTTATTTTGCTCAGGTTTGTCTGATCCCCAAGTCGGCCCATGGCACCAACCCGGCCAGTGCCCAGATGGCTGGCATGAAGGTGCAGGTGGTGGAGGTGGACAAGGATGGCAACATTGACATGGCAAACCTCAAGGCACTGGTAAGAGCTGGTTGGAGTGATTCTGATAATAAGCTCACTGTTACAGAATAGCCTTTCAATATAACCAATGATCTTGAGTATCCATTCAAATGCTTTTCAGTCTAGGCACAAAGAATAATTGAGAAACATGATGGCCAGACAGTCGGTGGTCACTATCTACCGGTCGCGCAACCAGCAGTGAATTAGCCCCCTTAAAAGTGGACTCTCGCGTTGCAGAGTCACACAGACTAATCCATTATTCCTCTCTTAGGTGGACAAACACAAGGCTAACCTGGCAGCCATGATGATAACGTACCCCTCCACCTTTGGTGTGTTTGAGGAGAGCATCGGTGATGTGTGCAATCTCATCCACCAGAACGGAGGACAGGTCTACCTGGACGGCGCTAATATGAACGCACAGGTGAGAGAAGAGTATATGCTTGTCACCTTGCTGATAAGGTTTTTGTGTGGATATACTGCATAGACCATTAAAGTTGAACAGTGTGTTTATATAAGCTAACTCTGTTGTGTAGTAAAACTTTGACTATTTTTGCACACAAAAAAAAAATACATTTATATATACCAAATTGGGTTGCTTATCCAGGTGTTAACTGAATCATGGACCCATCTATCACATAATACTATTTTGAATGATTTGAGTTATTGTAGTTGAGTTAATTGAGATACATACATACATACATACATACATACATACATACATACATACATACATACATACATACATACAGTGGGGAAAAAAAGTATTTAGTCAGCCACCAATTGTGCAAGTTCTCCCACTTAAAAAGATGAGAGAGGCCTGTAATTTTCATCATAGGTACACGTCAACTATGACAGACAAAATGAGAAAAAAAATATCCAGAAAATCACATTGTAGGATTTTTAATGAATTTATTTGCAAATTATGGTGGAAAATAAGTATTTGGTCACCTACAAACAAGCAAGATTTCTGGCTCTCACAGACCTGTAACTTCTTCGTTAAGAGGCTCCTCTGTCCTCCACTCGTTACCTGTATTAATGGCACCTGTTTGAACTTGTTATCAGTATAAAAGACACCTGTCCACAACCTCAAACAGTCACACTCCAAACTCCACTATGGCCAAGACCAAAGAGCTGTCAAAGGACACCAGAAACAAAATTGTAGACCTGCACCAGGCTGGGAAGACTGACTCTGCAATAGGTAAGCAGCTTGGTTTGAAGAAATCAACTGTGGGAGCAATTATTAGGAAATGGAAGACATACAAGACCACTGATAATCTCCCTCGATCTGGGGCTCCACGCAAGATCTCACCCCGTGGGGTCAAAATGATCACAGAACCACACGGGGGGACCTAGTGAATGACCTGCAGAGAGCTGGGACCAAAGTAACAAAGCCTACCATCAGTAACACACTACGCCGCCAGGGACTCAAATCCTGCAGTGCCAGACGTGTCCCCCTGCTTAAGCCAGTACATGTCCAGGCCCGTCTGAAGTTTGCTAGAGTGCATTTGGATGATCCAGAAGAGGATTGGGAGAATGTCATATGGTCAGATGAAACCAAAATAGAACTTTTTGGTAAAAACTCAACTCGTCGTGTTTGGAGGACAAAGAATGCTGAGTTGCATCCAAAGAACACCATACCTACTGTGAAGCATGGGGGTGGAAACATCATGCTTTGGGGCTGTTTTTCTGCAAAGGGACCAGGACGACTGATCAGTGTAAAGGAAAGAATGAATGGGGCCATGTATCGTGAGATTTTGAGTGAAAACCTCCTTCCATCAGCAAGGGCATTGAAGATGAAACGTGGCTGGGTCTTTCAGCATGACAATGATCCCAAACACACCTGCCCGGGCAACGAAGGAGTGGCTTCGTAAGAAGCATTTCAAGGTCCTGGAGTAGCCTAGCCAGTCTCCAGATCTCAACCCCATAGAAAATCTTTGGAGGGAGTTGAAAGTCTGTGTTGCCCTGCGACAGCCCCAAAACATCACTGCTCTAGAGGAGATCTGCATGGAGGAATGGGCCAAAATACCAGCAACAGTGTGTGAAAACCTTGTGAAGACTTACAGAAAACGTTTGACCTGTGTCATTGCCAACAAAGGGTATATAACAAAGTATTGAGAAACTTTTGTTATTGTCCAAATACTTATTTTCCACCATAATTTACAAATAAATTCATAAAAAATCCTACAATGTGATTTTCTGGATTTTTTTTCCTCATTTTGTCTGTCATAGTTGACGTGTACCTATGATGAAAATTACAGGCCTCTCATCTTTTTAAGTGGGAGAACTTGCACAATTGGTGGCTGACTAAATACTTTTTTCCCCCACTATATATATATATATATAACACACACACACACACACACAACCGTTCAAAAGTTTGGGGTCACTTAGAAATGGCCTTGTTTTCGAAATAAAAGCAATTGTTTTGTCCATTAAAATAACATCAAATTGATCAGAAATACAGTGTAGACATTGTTCATGTTGTAAATGGCTATTGCTGATTTTTAATGGAATATCTACAGTTGAAGTCGGAAGTTTACATACACCTTAGCCAAATACATTTAAACTCAGTTTTTCACAATTCCTGACATTTAATCCTAGTCACAATTCCCTGTCTTAGGTCAGTTAGGAGCACCACTTTATTTTAAGAATGTGAAATGTCAGAATAATGGGAGAGAGAATGATTTATTTCAGCTTTTAGTTCTTTCAACACATTCTTAGTGGGTCAGAAGTTTACATACACTCAATTAGTATTTGGTAGCATTGCCTTTAAATTGTTTAACTTGGGTCAAACGTTCCGGGTAGCCTTCCACAAGTTCCCCACAATAAATTGGGTGAATTTTGGCCCATTCCTCCAGACAGAGCTGGTGTAACCGAGTCAGGTTTGTAGGCCTCCTTGCTCACACATGCTTTTTCAGTTCTGCCCACAAATTTTCTATAGGATTGAGGTCAGGGCTTTGTGATGACCACTCCAATACCTTGACTTTGTTGTCCTTAAGCCATTTTGCCACAACTTTGGAAGTATGATTGGGGGCATTGTCCATTTGGAAGACCCATTTGCGACCAAGCTTTAACTTCCTGACTGCTGTCTTGAGATGTTGCTTCAATATATCCACATAATTTTCCTTCCTCATGATGCCATCTATTTTGTGAAGTGCATCAGTCCCTCCTGCAGCAAAGCACCCCCACAGCATGATGCTGGCACCCCGTTTCATCAGACCAGAGGACATTTCTCCAAAAAGTACAATCTTTGTCCCCATGTGCAGTTGCAAACTGTAGTCTGGCTTTTTTATGGCGGTTTTGGAGCAGTGGCTTCTTCCTTGCTGAGCGGCCTTTCAGGTTATGTCAATATAGGACTCGTTTTACTGTGGATATAGATACTTTTGTACCTGTTTCCTCCAGCATCTTCACAAGGTCCTTTGCTGTTGTTCTGGGATTGATTTGCACTTTTCGCACCAAAGTACGTTCATCTCTACGAGACAGATGGATCTCTTTCCTGAGCGGTATGACGGCTGCGTGGTCCCATGGTCTTTATACTTGCGTATTATTGTTTGTACAGATGAACGTGGTACCGTCAGGTGTTTGGAAATTGCTCCCAAGGATGAACCAGACTTGTGGTGGTCTACAATTTTTTTTCTGAGGTCTTGGCTGATTTCTTTTCATTTTCCCATGATGTCAAGCAAAGAGGCCCTGAGTTTGAAGGTAGGCCTTGAAATACATCCACATGTACACCTCCAATTGACTCAAATTATGTCAATTAGCCTATCAGAAGCTTCTAAAGCCATGACATCATTTTCTGGAATTTTCCAAGCTGTTTGAAGACACAGTCAACTTATTGTATGTAAACTTCTGACCCACTGGAATTGTGATACAGTGAAAAAATCTGTCTGTAAACAATTGTTGGAAAAATTACTTGTGTCATGACTTGCCATAACTATAGTTGACAAGAAATGTGTGGAGTGGTTGAATAACAAGTTTTAATGACTCCAACCTAAGTGTATGTAAACTTCAGACTTCAACTGTACATAGGCGTACTGAGGCACATTATCAGCAACCATCAGTCCTGTGTTCCAATGGCACGTTGTGTTTGCTAATACAAGTTTATCATTTTAAAAGGCTAATTGATCATTAGAAAACCCTTTTGCAATTAAGTTAGCACAGCTTAAAACTGTTGTGCTGATTAAAGAAGCAATAAAACGGGTCTTCTTGAGACTCATTGAGTATCTAGAGCAACAGCAATTGTGGGTTCGATTTACAGAATCAAAATGGCCAGAAACAAATAACTTTCTTCTGAAACTCGTCAGTCTATTCTTGTTCTGAAAAATGAAGGCTATTCCATGCGAGAAATTGCCAAGAAACTGAAGATCTCATACAATGCTGTGTACTACTCCCTTCACAGAACAGCGCAAACTGTCTCTAACCAGAATAGAAAGTGGAGTGGGAGGCCCCAGTGCACAACTGAGCAAGAGGACAAATTCATTAGTGTCTAGTTTGAGAAACCGACGCCTCACAGGTCCTCAACTGGCAGCTTCATTAAATAGTACCTGCAAAACACTAGTCTGAAAGTCAACAGTGAAGAGGCAACTCCGGGATGCTGACCTTCTAGGCAGAGTTGCAAAGAAAAAGCCATATCTCAGACTGGCCAATAAAAAGAAAAGATTAAGATGGACAAAGGAACACAGACACTGGACAGAGGAAGATTGGAAAAAAGTGTTATGGACAGACGAATCAAAGTTTTGAGGTGTTCAGATCACAAAGAAGAACATTTATAAGACGCAGACCAAATGAAAAAATGCTGGAGGAGTGCTTGATGCCATCTGTCAAGCAAGGTGGAGGCAATGTGATGGTCTGGGGGTGCTTTGGTGGTGGTAACGTGGGAGATTTGTACAGGGTAAAAGGGATCTTGAAGAAGGAAGGCTATCACTCCATTTTGCAACACCATGCCATACCCTGTGGACGGCGCTTGATTGGAGCCAATTTCCTCCTACAACAGGACAATGACCCAAAGCACAGCACCAAACTGCAATAACTATTTAGGGAAGAAGCAGTCAGCTGGTATTCTGTCTATAATGGAGTGGCCAGAACAGTCACCGGATCTTTAACCCTATTGAGCTGTTGTAGGAGCAGCTTGACCGTATGGTATGTAAGAAGTGCCCATCAAGCCAATCCAACTTGTGGGAGGTGCTTCAGGAAGCATGGGGTAAAATCTCTTCAGATTACCTCAACAAATTGACAACTAGAATGCCAGAGGTCTGCAAGGCTGTAATTGCTGCAAATGGAGGATTCTTTGACGATTGTTTGAAGGACACAATTATTATTTCTATTAAAAATCATTATTTCTAACCTTGTTAATGACTACATTTCCTATGCATTTTGCTATATTTCCTATTCAAACTCATTTCATGTGTGTGTATATATATATATATATGTGTGTGTGTGTGTGTGTGTGTGTGTGTATGTATATATATATATATATACACACACACACACACACACACACACACACACACACACACACACACACACAGTGACTTGCGAAAGTATTCACCCCCCCTTGGCATTTTCCCTATTTTGTTGCCTTACAACCTGGAATGAAAATGTATTTGGGGGGGGGGGGGGGGTTGTATCATTTGATTTACACAACATGCACTTTGAAGATGCAAAATATTTTTTACTGTCAAACAAACAAAGAAACTTGAGCATGCATAACTATTTACCCCCCCAAAGTCAATACTTTGTAGAGCCACCTTTTGCAGCAATTACAGCTGCAAGTCTCTTGGGGTATGTCTCTATAAGCTTGGCACATCTAGCCACTGGGATTTTTGCCCATTCTTCAAGGCAAAACTGCTCCAGCTCTTTCAAGTTGGATGGGTTCTGCTGGTGTACAGCAATATTTAAGTCATACCACAGATTCTCAATTGGATTGAGGTCTGGGCTTTGACTAGGCCATTCTTAGACATTTACATGTTTCCCCTTAAACCACTCGAGTGTTGCTTTAGCAGTATGCTTAGGGTCATTGTCCTGCTGGAAGGTGAACCTCCGTCCCAGTCTCAAATCTCTGGAAGACTGAAACCGGTTTCCCTCAAGAATTTCCCTGTATTTAGTGCCATCCTTCAATTCTGACCAGTTTCCCAGTCCCTGCCAATGAAAAACATCCCCACAGCATGATGCTGCTACCACCATGCTTCACTGTGGGGATGGTGTTCTCGGGGTGATGAGAGTTGTTGGGTTTGCGCCAGACATAGCATTTCCTTAATAGCCAAAAAGCTCAATTTTTTGTCTCATCTGACCATAGTACCTTCTTCCATATGTTTGGGGAGTCTCCCACATGCCTTTTGGCGAACACCAAACGTGTTTGCTTATTCTTTTCTTTAAGCAATGGCTTTTTCTGGCCACTCTTCCGTAAAGCCCAGCTCTGTGGAGTGTACGGCTTAAAGTGGTCTTATGGACAGATACTCCAATCTCTGCTGTGGAGCTTTGCAGCTCTTTCAGGGTTATCTTTGGTCTCTTTGTTGCCTCTGATTAATGCCCTTCTTACCTGGTCCGTGAGTTTTGGTGGGCGGCCCTCTTCTGGCAGGTTTGTTGTGGTGCCATATTCTTTCAATTTTTTTAATAATGGATTTAATGGTGATCCGTGGGGTGTTCAAAGTTTCTGATATTTTTTTATAACCAAACCCTGATCTGTACTTCTCCACAACTTTGTCCCTGACCTGTTTGGAGAGCTCCTTGGTCTCCATGGTGCCGCTTGCTTAGTGGTGTTGCAGACTCTGGGGCCTTTCAGAACAGGTGTGTGTGTGTGTGTGTGTGTGTGTGTGTGTGTGTATATATATATATATACTGAGATCATGTGACACTTAGATTGCACACAGGTGGACTTTATTTAAGTAATTATGTGACTTCTGAAGGTAATTGGTTGCACCAGATCTTATTTAGTGGCTTCATAGCAAAGGGGGTGAATACATATGCATGCACCACTTTTCCGTTATTTATTTATTTTGAAAGTTTTGATTTTATTTTAATTCACCAATTTCGACTTTTGTGTGTGTCCATTACATGAAATCCAAATAAAAATCCATTTAAATTACATGGTGTAATGCAACAAAATAGGAAAAACGCCAAGGGGGATGAATACTTTTGCAAGGCACAGTAATACATACAGTACCAGTCAAAGGTTTGGACATACCTACTCATTCCAGGGTTTTTCTTTATTTTTACTATTTTCTACATTGTAGAATAATAGTGAAGACCTCAACACTGAAATAACACATGGAATCATGTAGTAACTTAAGAAGTGTTATCGTGTTATCCTGAACATATTGTTTTTTCTGCCGGAATCACTGAACCATTAACACCGGATTCATCGCTACTAGCTAGCTGCAACCAACTGGACGTTTTGTGGTTGGCTAATCAGCCCTGAGTTAGCCTTGCGCCAGGCCCATCTCCCGGCTATCTACCTCTCTGTCAACCGGACGGGACCTCCTAGTGTCGACACGGAGCCCCGCCGATCCAACATGACTGGTCTGCCGACGAAATCATCTGATGTGGTTACAACAGGCTTCCCGTTACGACGTCGACCACGAAGATCCATCTGCTAGCCCCGGCCCGCTAACACACGCTAGCCATGGCCTCTTGCTAGCTAGTGCTGTAGCAGCCCCCGCACTACCTCCAAACTATCCTATTGCTGTTCACCGGACCTTATGATAACTCAGCTATACAGCTGATGCCTGCTGGACTGTTCCATTTTACGGTACCGCATCCTGTTTATGTTTAGCCTCAGCCCAAACTTTGTCGCCATTACCAGCTGTTGTCTTAGCTCTCTCGAATTACACCTGTGATTGCTTTATGCCTCTCTCCCATGTCAATATGCCTTGCTTATTGCTGTTTTCGCTTATTTCTTATTGTACTATTTCACTGTAGATCCCCCAGCCCAACTAAACCTGCCTTAGATAGCTCCTTTGTCCCACCCCCCATACACGCGGAGACCGACTCAATCGGTGCCTCCAGTGATGCTATCTCCTTCATTGTTACCCAACGCTTAGGTTTACCTCCACTGTACTCATATCCTTCCATATCCTTGTCTGTACATAATGCCCTGACTCTATTCTACAACGCCCGGAAACCTGCCCCTTTTATTCTCTGTACCCAACGCACTAGAAGACCAGTTCTTAAAGCCTTTAGCCGTATCCTTATTCTAGTCCTCCTCTGTTCCTCTGGTGATGTAGAGGTTAACCCAGGCCCTGTAGCCCCCAGTATCACTCCTATTCCCCAGGCGTTATCATTTGTTGACTTCTGTAATCGTAAAAGCCTTGGTTTCTTGCACATTAATATCCGAAGCCTACTCCCTAAGTTTGAGTTATTCACTGCGTTAGCACACGCCGCCAACCCTGATGTTCTAGCAGTGTCTGAATCCTGGCTTAGGAAGGCCACCAAAAATTCAGAAATGTCCATCCCCAACTACAACATTTTCCGTCTCGATAGAACTGCCAAAGGGGGTGGGGTTGCAATCTACTGTAGAGAGAGCCTGCAGAGCTCTATCGTACTATCCAGGTCTATGCCCAAACAGTTTGAGCTTCTACTTCTAAAAATCCACCTTTCCAGAAATAAGTCTCTCACTGTTGCCGCTTGCTACAGACCCCCCTCAGCCCCGAGCTGTGCCCTGGACACCATATGTGAACTGATTGCCCCCCATCTATCCTCAGAGTTCGTACTGCTTGGTGACCTAAACTGGGATATGCTAAACACCCCGGCCAACCTACAATCTAAACTAGATGCCCTCAATCTCACACAAATTATCAACGAACCTACCAGGTACAACCCTAAATCTGTAAACATAGGCACCCTCATAGATATCATCCTGACAAATTTACCCTCTAAATACACCTCCGCTGTCTTCAACCAGGATCTCAGTGATCACTGCCTTATTGCCTGCGTCCGTAATGGGTCCGCGATCAAACGACTACCCCTCATCACTGTCAAGCGCTCCCTAAAACACTTTAGCGAGCAGGCCTTTCTAATTGACCTGGCCCGGGAATCCTGGATGGATATTGACCTCATTCCGTCAGTAGAGGATGCCTGGTTGTTCTTTAAAAGTGCTTTCCTCTCAATCTTAAATAAGCATGCCCCATTCAAAAAAATTCAGAACTAAGAACAGATATAGCCCCTGGTTCTCCTCAGACTTGACTGCCCTTGACCAGCACAAAAACATCCTGTGGCGTACTGCATTAGCATCGAACAGCCCCCGCGATATGCAACTTTTTAGGGAAGTCAGGAACCAATATACACAATCAGTTTGGAAAGCAAAGGCTAGCTTTTTCAAACAGAAATTTGCATCCTGTATCACTAACTCCAAAATGTTTTGGGACACTGTAAAGTCCATGGAAAATAAGAGCACCTCCTCCCAGCTGCCCACTGCACTGAGGCTAGGAAACCACCGATAAATCTACAATAATCGAGAATTTCAACAAGCATTTTGCTACGGCTGGCCATGCTTTCCACCTGGCTACCACTACCCCGGCCACCAACTCTGCACCCTCCGCTGCAACTTGCCCATGCCCCCCCCCACTTCTCCTTCACACAAATTCAGACAGCTGATGTTCTGAAAGAGCTAAAAAATCTGGACCCCTACAAATCAGCTGGGCTAGACAATCTGGACCCTTTCTTTCTAAAATTAGCCGCCGAAATTGTCGCAACCCCTATTACTAGCCTGTTCAACCTCTCTTTTGTAACGTCTGAGATCCCCAGAGATTGGAAAGCTGCCGCGGTCATCCCCCTCTTCAAAGGGGGTGACACTCTAGATCCTAACTGTTATAGACCTATATCCATCCTGCCCTGCCTTTCGAAAGTATTTGAAAGCCAAGTTAACAAACAGATCACCGACCATTTCGAATCCCACCGTACCTTCTCCGCTATGGAATCCGGTTTCCGAGCTGGTCATGGGCGCACCTCAGCCATGCTCAAGGTCCTAAACGATATTATAAACGCGATCGATAAAAGACAGTACTGTGCAGCCGTCTTCATCGACCTGGCCAGGGCTTTCGACTCTGTCAACCACCGCATTCTTATTGGCAGACTAAATAGCCTTGGTTTCTCTGACTGCCTCGCCTGGTTCACCAACTACTTCTCAGATAGAGTTCAATGTGTCAAATCGGAGGGCCTGTTGTCTGGACCTCTGGCCGTCTCTATGGGCGTGCCACAGGGTTCAATTCTCGGGCCGACTCTATTCTCTGTGTATATCAATGATGTCGCTCTTGCTGTTGGTGACGCTTGGATCCACCTCTATGCGGACAACACCATTTTGTATACATCTGGCCCTTCATTGGACACTGTGTTAACAAACCTCCAAACGAGCTTTAATGCCATACAACACTCCTTCCGTAGCCTCCAACTGCTCTTAAACACTAGTAAAACTAAATGCATGCTCTTCAACCTAGAATCACTACTCTCGGCGGGTCTGACCTAGAGTATTTGGACAACTACAAATACCTAGGTGTCTGGTTAGACTGTAAACTCTCCTTCCAGACTCACATTAAGCATCTCCAATCAAAAGTTAGATCTAGAATTGGATTCCTATTTCCCAACAAAGCCTCCTTCACTCATGCTGCCAAACATGCCCTCGTAAAACTGACTATCCTACCGATCCTTGACTTCGGCGATGTCATTTACAAAATAGCCTCCTACACCCTACTCAGCAAATTGGATGTAGTCTATCACAGTGCCATCCGTTTTGTCACCAAATCCCCATATACTACCCACCATTGTGACCTGTACGCTCTTGTTGGCTGGCCCTCACTACATATTCGTCGCCAAACCCACTGGCTCCAGGTCATCTATAAATCACTGCTAGGCAAATCCCTGTCTTATCTTAGCTCACTGGTCACCATAGCAACACCCACCCGTAGTCTGCGCTCCAGCAGGTATATCTCACTGGTCATCCCCAAAGCCAACACCTCCTTTGGCCGCCATTCCTTCCAGTTCTCTGCTGCCAATGACTGAAACGAACTGCAAAAATCTCTGAAGTCTGGAGACTCATTATCTCCCTCACTAACTTTAAGCATCAGTTGTCAGAGCAGCTTACGTCACTGCACTGTACACAGCCTTTCTGAAATTAGCCCACCCCAACTACCTCATCCCCATTTGTTATTTATTTTGCTAATTATTGGCAACCCCAGTATCGTCTATTGCACATCTTTGAAATAATTAATTATTATAATAATTATTATTTAGCAGACACTCTCAGGCGCATTACAGGCATTAGGGTACGAAGTGCCTTGTCAAGGCATCGACGATTTCACTAGTCGGCTCGGGGATTAGAACAGCGCCTTCGGTTAATGCTATCATCCATAACGAATTTACTATTGCACTTGGCCGCCTCCTCTAACACTTCGCACACACTGTATATATATATATATATATTCTGTTGTATTTTTGACTTTGTTTTGTTTACCCCATATGTAACTCTGTGTTGTTTTTATCGCACTGCTTTGCTTTATCTTGGCCAGGTCGCAGTAAATGATAACTTGTTCTCAACTGGCTTACCTGGTTAAATAAAGGTTAAATAAAAATAAATGAATACAAATAAACTAATCAAAATAGATTTGAGATTCTTCAAAGGAGCCACCCTTTTGCCTTGATGACAGCTTTGCACACTCTTGGCATTCTCTCAACCAGCTTCATGAGGTAGTCACCTGAAATGCATGTCAATTAACAGGTGTGCCTTGTTAAAAGTTAATTTGTGGAATTTCTTTCCTTCTTAATGCGATTGAGCCAATCAGTTGTGTTGTGACAAGGTTGGGGTGGTATACAGAAGATAGCCCTATTTGGTAAAATACCATATTATTGCAAGAAGAGCTCAAATAAGCAAAGAGAAACAACCGTCCATCATTACTTTAAGTCATGAAGGTCAGTCAATTCGGAAAATGTAAGAGCTTTGAAAGTTTATTCAAGTACAGTCGCAAAAACCATCAAGCGCTATGATGAAACTGGCTCTCATGAAGACCGCCACAGGAAAGGAAGACCCAAAGTTACCTCTGCTGCAGAGGATACGTTTGTTAGAGTTACCAGCCTCGAAATTGCAGCCAAATAATGCTTCACAAAGAAACAACCGTCCATCATAAGAAGAAGAGACTTGCTTGGGCCAAGAGACACGAGCAATGGACATTAGACCGGTGGAAATCTGTCCTTTGGTCTGATGAGTCCAAATTTGAGATTTTTGATGAACAGATTATCTCTGCATGTGTGGTTTCCACCGTGAAGCATGGAGGAGGAGGTGTCATGGTGTGGGGGTGCTTTGCTGGTGACACTGTCAGTGATTTCATTTAGAATTTAAGGCACACTTAACCAACATGGCTACCACAGCATTCTGCAGCGGTACCCCATCCCATCTGGTTTGGGCTTAGTAGGACTATAATTTGTTTTTCAACAGGACAATGACCCAATACACCTCCAGGCTGTGTAAGGGCTATTTTACCAAGAAGCATAGCGATGGAGTGCTGCATCAGATGACCTGGCCTCCACAATCACCGACCTCAGCCCAATTGAGATGGTTTGGGATGAGTCGGAAGGCAGAGTGAAGGAAAAGCAGCCAACAAGTGCTCAGCATATGTGGGAACTATTGGAAAAGCATTCCAGGTGAAGCTGGTTGAGAGAATGTCAAGAGTGTACAAAGCTGTCAAGGCAAAGGGTGGCTATTTGAAGAATCTCAAATATAAAATATATTTTGATTTGGTTACTACATGATTCCATATGTTATTTCATCGTTTTGATGTCTTCACTATTATTCTACAATGTAGAAAATAGTACAAATAAAGAAACCCTTGAATGAGTAGGAGTGTCAACTTTTGACTGGTAATGTACATGCATAGATACATACAGTGCCTTCGGAAAGTATTCAGACCCATTGACTTCTTTCACATTTTGTTACGTTACAGCTTTATTCTAAAATTGATTGAATAGTTTTTTTCCCTCATTAATCTACACACAATACCCGATAATGACAAAGCAAAAACAGGTATTTCAAAATTTTAGCCAATTTATAAAAAATATGACATTTACATAAGTATTCAGTACTTTGTTGAAGCACCTTTGGCAACGATTACAGCCTCAAGTCTTCTTTGGTATGACGCTACAAGCTTTGCACACCTATATTTGGGAGTTTCTCCCATTCTTCTCTGCAGATCCTCTCAAGCTCTGTCAGGTTGGATGGGGAGCGTTGCTGCACAGCTATTTTCAGGTCTCTCCAGAGATGTTCAATCGGGTTCAAGTCCGGCCTCTGGTTGGGCCACTCAAGGACATTCAGAGACTTGTCCCGAAGCCACTCCTGCGTTGTCTTGGCTGTGTGCTTAGGGTCGTTGTCCTGTTGGAAGGTGAACCTTGCCCCAGTCTGAGGTCTTGAGTGCTCTGGAGCAGGTTTTCATCAAGAATCTCTCTATACTTTGCTCCATTCATCTTTCCCTCGATCCTGACTAGTCTCCCAGTCCCTGCCGCTGAAAAACATCCCCACAGCATGATGCTGCCACCACCATGCTTCACCGTAGGGATAGTGCCAGGTTTCCTCCAGACGTGACGCTTGGCATTCAGGCCAAAGAGTTCAATCTTGGTTTCATCAGACCAGAGAATCTTGTTTCTCATGGTCTGAGAGTCTTTAGGTGCCTTTTGGCAAACTCCAAGCGGGCTGTTATTGTGAAGTAGAAACGTCTAGGAGCAACAATGACTGAGCCGCGAAGTGGTAGGCCACAGAAGCTCACAGAACGGGACTGCCGAGTGCTGAAGCGCGTAAAAATCATCTGTCCTCGGTTGCAACACTCACTATCGAGTTCCAAACTGCCTCTACAAGCAACTTCAGCACAATAACTGTTCGTCGGGAGCTTCATGAAATGGGTTTCCGTGACCGAGCAGCCACAAATAAGCCTAAGCTCACCATGCGCAATGCCAAGTGTCGGCTGGAGTGGTGTAAAGCTTGCCGCCATTGGACTCTGGAGCAGTGGAAACGCATTCTCTGGAGTGATGAATCACGCTTCACCATCTGGCAGTCCGATGGACAAATCTTGGTTTGGCGGATGCCAGGAGCGCGCTACCTGCCCCAATGCATAGTGCCAACTGTAAAGTTTGGTGGAGGTGGAATAATGGTTTGGGCTTAGTTCGAGTGAAGGGAAATCTTAACGCTACAGCATACAATGACATTCTATACGATTCTGTGCTTCCAACTTTTTGGCAACAGTTTGGGAAAGGTCCTTTTTCATGTTTCAGCATGACAATGCCCCCATGTACAAAGCGAGGTCCATACAGAAATGGTTTGTCGAGATCGGTGTGGAAGAACTTGACTGGCCTGCACAGAGCCCTGACCTCAACCCAATAGAACACCTTTGAGATGAATTGGAATGCCGACTGCGACCCAGGACTAATCGCCCAACATCAGTGCCCGACCTCACTAATGCTCTTGTGACTGAATGGAAGCAAGTCCCGCAGCAATGTTCCAACATCTAGTGAAAAGCCTTCCCAGAAGAGTGGTTGTTCTAGCAGCAAAGGGGGGACCATATATTAATGGCCATGATTTTGGAATTAGATGTTCAACGAGCAGGTGTCCACACACTTTTGGTCATGTAGTATAGTGTATATTATTTAGTTATTTATTTGTAGCATTTGAACATAACATTTTTACAAGGCTCTCCTGGAGTGCATGGGAGTGCTCAAGTATGATGCATTTTACCCTCCACCGGTACTGTAGCGCCCGCTTCTGCAGATAAGAGGAAATGTGACTTTGGAGAATTGCCTTTCTATCACCCTGTAATCTCCTCTCTCTCCTGCCTGCTCTGCTCTCTACAGGTGGGCTTGTGTCGTCCTGGTGACTACGGATCTGACGTGTCTCACTTGAACCTCCACAAGACCTTCTGTATCCCCCACGGGGGCGGAGGACCAGGGATGGGACCTATCGGAGTGTAAGTGACCATAACGGGATTGTTTCCCTCAAATGCACATTTAATGGACTAAGTACAAAAACTGAACCTGCCCAAAGGAAATATAACTGGCCAAATCCATTATAAATAGGCCGTTTTGTCTTGGTCAGGTCACATAATATATGTATGCCATTTAGCAGACACTTTTTTATCCGAAGCGACTCAGTAATGCGTGCATACATGGTAAGGAAACACTCCTGGCACAAAGTTTTGGTGCAAAATATGACTTAAAATTGAATAATTAATTACTATTGATGACTTAATGGAGTTGTGCATGGTAAACAGGAAGGAGCACCTTGCCCCGTTCCTGCCCTGCCACCCAGTGGTCAGCATGTCAGCAGGCAACATGTCCAGCTCCCTGGGCACCATCAGTGCTGCCCCATGGGGCTCCAGTGCCATTCTGCCCATCTCTTGGGCTTACATCAAGGTCAGTACCAGTGGACTGTATCGATCCTATGGTTCAGTGCCATGAAATGTAAATAAGGATGATGATAGATTTGTTAGAATAGTGCTATTCATGATACTTAAAGGTCTTTATAGGCAAATGCAGGGGGGGGGGGGAAAAAACATGCAACTGAAGCAACAACGTAGCAGTTTAGTACATGAGTTGATATAGCCCCTGTTGTATCCTACTGTGTAGATGATGGGAGCCAAGGGGCTTGTTCATGCCACAGAGGTGGCTATCCTTAATGCCAACTACATGGCCAAGAGATTAGAGAGCCACTACAAGATCCTCTTCAAAGGCAGGAAAGGTGAGTGGTGGAGGTCCTATTCACCCAAGTATGGTGCCCTGTGTCCATCAGTAATCAGCTGACACTAGCAAATGTTGATTTAATTAACACAGATTTCTTTGGGCCACAGGTTTTTGTGCCCATGAATTTATTTTGGATGTGAGGCCATTCAAGAAGAGCGCCAACATTGAAGCGGTGGATGTGGCTAAAAGGCTCCAGGATTATGGTGAGCTGGAACATGGATATTCACAACACTGCATTTACGGATAGTTGGGTACTGCTTAAAAGTCAACAGGGTCTACTTCTGTCTCTTTCTGTATCTTAAGTTTAAAAAAAATAATATATATAATATATATATGCAAACAGACATTACACAAATACACATTTATCCCCACATCCCACCCACAGGACCTGCTTAATTAAGTACATATATTTAAATAATCATATTTTTTTTATTGAATTTAACTGTGAGCCATCTTCTTATCCCCCTGTGTGTCTGACCCTGGCCAGGTTTCCATGCCCCCACCATGTCGTGGCCCGTGGCAGGAACCCTGATGATCGAGCCCACGGAGTCAGAGGACAAGGCAGAGATGGACCGCTTCTGTGATGCGTTGATGGGAATCAGACAGGAAATAGCCGACATTGAGGAAGGCAGGATGGATGCCCGCGTTAACCCACTGAAGGTGCACTGCATTGGCCTGACTCATAGATAGACACAACTTACAATCTGTGTGTGTTAAACCATGCAATCAGCTACATACAGTGGTCTATAAACTCATTATAGCAATTTTTCTCAATTAAATAGGTGTGAGTGATAGCCTCCCATATTTCAACATAAGTTATAACAACTGATTGTGATAAGACATACCGATCCGGTGTTATGGACAACCTTTTATTAGAGTATTATTGAGCATAAAAAAATCTGTGCTTTAGTGATGGCACCTAAATGTAGCAAGAGTTGCTGTATTTTGCCAGAGCAGCTAAAATAGGTGTTCACTTGGGTCTGTCTGTGTCCACAGATGGCCCCTCACTCCCTGGCGAGCATCACCTCCTCCACCTGGGACAGGCCCTACTCCAGGGAGTACGCTGCTTTCCCCCTGGTGAGTCTTCCCTCTGGAAAACATCACAACACACACTACCAACTCCACTTCCCCCTGAGCTAAAAATGGCCTTGTTTGTGATTCATGTGAATATCAACATGTTTACAATTGATTTACCAAAATCGTTGTACACAGATTATTTTACTCTCTCTGTATTATTGTTAACAAATTGGTATGCATGGTAAACTCAAATGTTTCTCATTTTAAAACTTCCAGCCATTTGTGAGGCCCGAGACCAAGTTTTGGCCATCCATCTCCAGGATCGACGACATATACGGTGACCAGCACCTGGTCTGCACTTGCCCCCCTATGGACGTGTATGAGTCACCATATGAGGAGAAGAGAGCTTCCTCATGACACTAGTGCCTCCGTTATACCAGCCGTCATCATCATTCATCACACTTCCAAATTGTGAAAATCCATGAAAGAGTTGTGTATCGTTTTTCTGTATTTCCATGATGTGCCCTCGGTGCCTCAACTCTCTGTCTATATTTTATGTTGTACAAATAGTTACCTTGAATCTCCCTTCACACTGTTTTATTCTCTAAAGTACCGGATCGGACAAAAAAAACGTAGATCTCAACTTGTGTAGGGTTGTTGTTAATATTTGCCATCTGTTTCATGTATGAACATTTTAAAATGTGTATTTGACACGTGTTTGCCTAATTACTTATACTAATGTTAGTCTTGATGTTAAGATACTTTTAGGGGATAAAGAAAGTTAATGATCTTTAAATTACCTGTTAGGAAAAATAGTTGTAATAAACATTGATTGTCTGGATCTTTTCTTGTTCAGTTTTGGAAGTAGACTAGACACATTTGAGGTAATACTGCTAGATCTGACTGTTGGAACACAAGCACCTATTCTGTCTCACATGGTTTGTTCTGTGAGACACAATACTAATACATCTGGACATTGAGATGTTTCTTATCTCCAGATTACATTATATAATTGAGTGAAAAAGAATAAGTGAAGATTACAGTTCTCGTGAATGTCCTGTGTTCAGTCTTTGACACTAACTAATTACAGTTCAAAAGAATGAATGTCCCGTTCAGTCTGCCTACAGACATGGCATGAGAACCTCAGGGAAGTTCCTTCATTTTATTAATATGGTTAATCCTATTAGGTGATAATCTTTTCGCTTTGCCTCAGAAAATCAATTTTGTGTGATTTATGACTGAAAACATAAGCACAATCAATGGAACTGTTGTGTGTGCATGACTTTAGTTTACAGTAATACTGACACTTACTGTATGCAAGACGCTATGGCATGTTTCCATTACATAAGACACACACCCTATCTTTACCATGTCTGCTTTTAAACTCCCCACACTGTGGTAAAGTTTCGGGGATTGACATTAAGGGTTGCCCTACTGCCTGGGGCAAGTGAGCGGTCCTGCAAGTTGAGCCTGCTCTGAGGTTGCCCCATTGGGCAAAGAATCCCAGTAGCCTAAAATTATCATTCTGGTTCCTCCCCATTGTTTAAGTGAAAGACAATTTATGGCAGAAAGTCAAGTTGAGCCTGCTGAGATTATATATATATTTTTACTGATAACCAAAATATGAAGAATTCCAGAACTTCTCTTTCTTATTCCTCCCCTATGTGAAGGTGAAAGGCAGGCAATATGGCACTTCTGTGTGTAAATAGCTCATTTACATTTTCGGGCAAGTGATCATAATCTTCAGGCAACCCAAAAATACTGCTGAACTTGCCCGATGGGCAAGTTCCTTTCAGACTTTGTCAATACCTGTATGTACAGTGTCTTCAGAAACTATTCACACCCCTAGACTTTTTCCACATTTTGTTGTGTTACAGACAACATTTTAAATTGATTACATTTATATTGTTTTGTTACTGGCCTGCACACAATACCACATAATGTGAAAGTGGAATTATGTTTTTTTGAAAGTTTTACAAATTAATTAAAAATGAAAACCTGAAATGTCTTGAGTCAATAAGTACAGCACATTCAGAAAGTATTCAGACCCCTTGACTTTTTCCACATTTTGTTACATTACAGCCTTATTCTAAAATTGATTAAATTGTTTTTTTCCCTCGTCAATCTACACACAATACCCCATAATTGCAAAGCAAAAACAGGCTTTTAGAAATTTTAGCAAATGTATTAAAAATAATACACTGAAATATGACATTTACATAAGTTTTCAGACACTTTACTCAGTACTTTGTTGAAGCACCTTTGGCAGCGATTACAGCCTCGAGTCTTCTCTTGACGCTAGAAGCTTGGCACACCTGTATTTGGGGAGTTTCTCCCATTCTTCTCTGAAGATCCTCTCAAGATCTGTCAGGTTGGATGGGGAGCGTTGCTGCACAGCTATTTTCAGGTATCTCCAGAGATGTTCGATCGGGTTCAAGTCCGGGTTCTGGCTGGGCCACTCAAGGACATTGAGACTTGTCCTGATGCCACTCATGCGTTGTCTTGGCTGTTTGCTTAGGGTCGTTGTCCTGTTGGAAGGTGAACCTTCGCCCCAGTCTGAGGTCCTGAGCGCTCTGGAGCAGGTTTTCATCAAGGATCTCTCTGTACTTTGCTCCGTTCATCTTTCCCTCGATCCTGACTAGTCTCCCAGTCCCTGCCTCTGAAAGACATCCCCACAGCATGATGCAGCCACCACCATGCTTCACCATAGGGATGGTGCCAGATTTCCTCCAGATGTGACGCTTGGCATTCAGGCCAAAGAGTTCAATCTTGGTTTCATCAGACCAAAGAATCTTGTTTCTCATGGTCTGAGAGTCCTTTAGGTGCCTTTTGGCAAACTCCAAGCGGGCTGTCGTGCTTTTTACTGAGGAATGGCTTTTGTCTGGCCACTCTACCATAAAGGCCTGATTGGTGTAGTGCTGCAGAGATGGTTGTCTTTCTGAAAGGTTCTCCCATCTCCACAGAGGAACTCTGAAGATCTGTCAGAGTGACCATCAGGTTCTTGGTCACCTCCCTGACCAAGGCCCTTCTCCCCCGATTGCTCAGTTTGGCCGGGCGGCCACTTCTAGGAAGTCTTGGTGATTCCAAACTTCTTCCATTTAAGAATGATGGAGGCCACTGTGTTCTTGGGGACCTTCAATGCTGCAGATATTTTTAGGTAACCGTCCCCAGACCTGTGCCACGACACAATCCTGTCTCGGAGCTCTACAGACAATCCCTTCGACCTCATGGCTTGGTTGTTGCTCTGACATGCGCTGTCAACTGTGGGACCTTATATAAACAGGTGTGTGCCTTTCCAAATCATGTCCAATCAATTGAATTGACTGCCGGTGGACTCCAATCAAGTTGTAGAAACATCTCAAGGATGATCAATGGAAACAGGATGCACCTGAGCTCAATTTAGAGTCATAGCAAAGGGTCTGAATACTTAAGTAAATAATGTTTTTTTTTAAATGTTTTCACTTTGTCATTATGGGGTATTGTGTGTAGATTGAGGAAAGAAATTAATTGTATCAATTTTAGAATAAGGCTGTAACGTAACAAAATGTGGAAAAAGTCAAGGGGTCTTAATACTTTCCCGAATGCACTGTATTCAACCCCTTTGTTATGGCAAGCCTAAAGTTCAGGAGTGAAAATGTGCTTAACAAGTCACATAATAAGTTGCATGGACCTACTCTGTGTGCAATAATAGTCTTTAACATTATTGTTGAATGACTACCTCATCTCTGTACCCCGGACATACAATTATCTTTAAGGTCCCTCAGTCGAGCAGTGAATTTCAAAGACCAGGGAGGTTTTCCAATGCCTCGCAAAGAAGGGCACCTATTGGTAGATACAAAAAATACAAAAAGCAGACATTGAATATCCCTTTGAGCATGGTAAAGTTATTAATTAGACTTTGGATGGTGTATCAATACACCCAGTCACTACAAAGATACAGGTGTGATTCCTAACTCAGTTGCTGAAGAGGATGGAAACCACTCAGGGATTTCACTGAGGCCAATGTTGACTTTAAACAAGTTGCAGAGTTTAATGGCTGTGCTAGGAGACAACTGAGGATGTATCAACAACATTGTAGTTACTCCACAATACTAACCTAATTGACAGAATGAAAATATGGGAACAGAATATAATTCCAAAACATGCATTCTGTTTGCAACAAGGAACTAAAGTAATTCTGAGTACCACTCTCCATATTTTCAAGCATAGTGGTGACTGCATCATGTTATCGGTATGCTTGTAATCGTTAAGGCTGGGGAGTTTTTCCAGATAAAAAAATAAATGTAATGGAGCTAAGCACAGGCAAAATCCTAGAAGAAAACCTGGTACAGTCTGCTTTCCACCAGACACTGGGAGATAAATTCACCTTTCAGCAGGACAATAACCTGGATCTACAAAGCCAAATCTACACTGGAGTTTCTTTCCAAAAAGACAGTGAATGTTCCTGAGTGGCCGAGTTACAGTTTTGACTTAAATCTGCTTGAAAATCTATGGCAAGACCTGAAAATGATTGTCTAGCAATGATCAACAACCAATTTGACATAGTTTGAAGAATTGTGAAAATAATAATGGGCAAATTTTGCACAATCCAGGTGTGGAAACCTCGTAGAGACTTACCCAGAAAGACTCACAGCTGAAATCACTGCCAAAGGTTATTCTAACATGTATTGACTCAGGGGGTTGAATACTTATCTAATCAAGATATATTAGTGTTTAATTTCCATAAATTCTTCACAAATGCTAGCATTTTTTTCCACTTTGACAGAGTATTTTGTGTAGATTGTTGACAAAAAAATGCCAATTAAATCCAGTTTAATCGCACTTTGTAACACAATACAATTTTGAAAAAGTCAAGGGGTGTGAATACTTCCTGATGGCACTGAACGTTGTCTGGTGGTCCATGTTCCAGGGTTAGTGCTGTGTTGCAAGTCAATGTATGTAGATTGGTTAGACCCAAAATAGACAGCTTGTAAGATCTACAGCCTGTATGTATGTATGTTTGATTAAATTACACATTGACTTGTGATTATTGAGGTTGTTTTTTCAATTCATTCACCACCAAGTATGAATACCATTTTCAAAGGGTGTATGAGCCTCAATTTGAGAAGCTTGCAAATTTGAGTGTTAGGTCTGTTCACACCATTGTTCTCACAAATGACTATCAAATGCATTGGCCTTGGTCTGGTTAGAGTGTGATAGTGAAATTACAGTAGCAAATCAACTTAAGGAGCAGGGGAGAGCGATTGTTCCCTTGACAAATCTGGCCTCATGCCTATTGGGATAAATGGTGCTGGTTTGTGCCATGGTAGAGCCAGCACACATTCAGCAATTTTATTCATTCTGGGGAGAATTCCGACCCGAGTTAAGCGCACATAAATGGAACGTAGTTCCCTTTTTATGCACTTTTCTCTCTACGC